TAGAATCAAAATTCTAATGTTATAGTCGATTGCAAGTATACGTAGGAATTATTATTTTGCATCAATGGCCTAGCATCATCAATTTGTATTTCCTATCAAAGGATTAAGTTACTTGTTTCTCTTGTTCATAAGTACTACCAAAAATTTTTTTGCAAACTCATTACACTTCTCAAAATGCGCTATTCAAATACCTTCATTCTCCGGACATACAATTCAGGTATCTTTTTCAGATCAATTGGTATGATTTTATCAATCAACAATAAGATGACACTCTTGATCCATCAGTATAATACTGAATGCTGTCAATTTGAGGGAATTTTTTTCCTAACTTTTTTGAGAATTTATCCGTACCACTTTCACGATTCATTCACCTAATAGCTCAGTAACAGCGCTTCTCTTTGAACTGATGCAATTAGTAGGTTATTACTTGCTTAATGAGACGAAAATAAATTGCAGTCGTTTGCTTTAGTTAATTGTCCTATCAATTTTGTGTTTATCACATTCAACTTACGTTAAGAGCGAAATTTTATCAACGTTTCTTAGATTAAAGCTCCACTGATTATTTTATCCCTTGCGCCATTCTTGTTGCAGCCATGCAAATCCCACTATTTTTTCAGCCCTTATGGGCAATCGTTTTGAAGAGGAGTGAAGAAGTACTCGTGGACCAAATCTGGACTAATGTTTCATGTGCAATATTGTGTGTGACGTCACATCATAAGTGATACGCAAAAAATTTTTTAATTCAATTCTTTATGCAGGCCAATACTACACACTACAAAAAATTGATCATTGTTGGATTAAAAGAATGAATAAATCCAATATTGAAAGGATTTTGGATGTGGAATGATTGTTGAAAGTAATGAGGTATGAGCAGAATCAAAATTATTACTGAATATGCTTAAATTTTCAGATAGTAGGCAACCTCAAAAAATGGGATTCTTATTGTTAGATGAGAAGAGATAAATAATGCGAAATAGTGCTGTTGACCAAGAGCATGAAACATTGTTATTAAAGAAAATTAGCCTCAACTGAGCACTACATGAAGAAAGAGATAAAGGATTATGATGCCAGTAAAAAGTTGGGAGGCGGGTCGAAGGGCAATGATAGATAGGGTGGGACTTTGTAAATTTCAATTTTCGAATGAGTATGTGTCGATCTGCTGAGGTTGACAAATCACCACAACGTCTTCTAAGTTGACAGCCCTTATTTCCGGTCAAGTACAGTGCTCTCTTTAGCACTGAATTTATGTTTTTCTTGACTTTTGTTACTTGTTGACTCTTTTGAACTGTTTCTCTATGGTCTTTCGTTATTGCAAATAAGAACGTTTTAGGAACTTCGATTCGTTATATTATGATCAATTGCAAAAATAAGTGGGTATAATTTCTGCCCCTGTTTCAGATTATCAAAGGTTCAGTATTTTAATGTGATTTTGGAAGATGCGATCGAAAACCAGTTGCATTTTTGATTGCTTCTATTATTATTTATTTATGTTTATCAATTGAAATCCTAATTTTAAAAAATGAAAAAAAAAATCGATTTTGTTTTCACATTCAAATTATAATTTCGACTTAAACATTTCTATAGTATAGTACTGTATTCTACGCACAATCCGTCCAATTAATGGGTCCTAATACAGTTGTTTCAACTCTTCTACTCTTGAGTTAAAATCGAAAATCTTTTGAGATGTTCTCTCCTTTAAAATAAGTTACATTCTGATTGAGGAGTTCTTTTACAACATTGTTATAACATTCTTTCTCGTGTAAACCTTCCTCATAAACGAGACTCGAACCTGCGACATACCAGTTTCTGGACGGATGCTCTACCAACTGAGTTCTCGCAGAGACTGATAAATAACTCTTTTCCTTTACTGATAATTACTAAAGTTGAATAACAGTATATTTGTGAGCTATGTATATCCTATCACACCACTGTTTACAAACAGTTAGGCCAAGTAATGAAGTAAAGAACACCAATAGGCGTCAAAAAATGGCCACCTGACTGCTATATCAAATATCTCCGACATCGCGCTTTTATACACGTTTCCAAACTTAACTCCAAATCATTGAGGTTAGCAGAGATGAAGTTTCGAAGGAAATACAACACTCATTTTTCATTCGTAAAATAGCTCATCTTATTCAATTTCATTTGTATTCTATTTCATTCACTTTACTGATCAAATCTGATCCTTGTAAGCTAAACTTCCCTTCCTATGGCTCGGAAATGCCAAATTTTTGTTAACTCATCAAGCAGTGAGTATACGCCCATTGAGGACGGTAAAAATTGACATATTGAAGAGAAGTTGAATGAGTTAGACCAAGATGCTAATGTGAGAGGATGAATCTAGAGTGAATGTCAATGCCATATTATGCTTATGTAAGTGTTTATTGTTGAGAACATCTGCCTTGAAACCCCATTTTCACATCAGTTCTAATGGATTCTCGTGCTGAATAAATACACATTGTTTTCACATAGAACATGTTAACTGTTTCAAATACATGTGTTTGCACTGGATTAATCCACTCTATTTGAAGCAATTAACCAAGCACAGCAAGGAAAAACGATTATATATTCGGTGCGTTATTAGTTTGATATAGTGCTGATCTTATCGCTGAAATTGATCATTTAATGAAAAGGTGGTGTCAGTTGATAGAGCATCAATAAAAGAGGTGATTAAGCTCATTGACTTGTTGATGAATTGCTAAGGTATGTATTACTTTTGATTTGATTTTGATGTTGAATTCACTTCATTACTGTTCACTTTTCATGGCTGTGAGCATTTCATCAATTTCACAACAGTTACCCCATCTTTTTTTGGAGACAAACTCAAACTTGCATTTATTGCTCACGCTGATCAACAAAAGAAGATAGGAGATGAAACTGATCAGCTGTTGAATTCATATCTCGTTTCTATTACCTGTCATTCTCCCTTGCATTTTCGGCATCCATTCTTTTTGGACCCTACAGGACTGCATGCTTTCACAGAGCTAATCGATCAGATTTGCAAAAAAAAAACCTCATCCAAAACATTCTTCATCATCTAAATTTCCTACCAATCCACATTCAGACCTCTATCGCTCGAAAAGTTCCCCTTTGGAGTAATTTTTTCGTATTCGGTGCCATCGAACTGTGATTCATTCGCACGCGTTCAAGTCTTGTAACTGCACCAAATTTGGCAGTAATGTTTGATGATCGACTAGACATTTTAATGTTTACTCTACAATTGAATAAATTTAATTCTTACAAAAAGTGAATAACGGCTTATTCAAACTGAAGAGAAAATAAAAAATTTTTTGACTCAAGATCTATTCTTCAGCTTACAAGTACTCAAATAATACCGAGAGCGATTCCCAAAACGTCATAATTCAATTTTTGAATTCTTGCTCATTTCACTTTTCAGAGAGCCCATAAATTTAATTGATATTTTTTGCACTTTTTATCTTGCGTTCTTGTACGAAACATATCTTCTCATTAAGTGCTACTCATCAGTAGTATGATTGTTACGACGTTCAGTTATTCATTCATTACCTCCGCTATAACTCTTTATCTACACACATATACATACATACGTATATACACCTTGTGAAATGGATTACGGAAGAATGCACAAAGCAATTTGCTGCTTAGTTGTATGGTTTGCATCCCTCAACATTATGTGGCCGGTCTCATTCAGTCGGTTGCCGAATTTGTTCATCAAATTCTATTGTTGCATCTGCTATTATTATTACTCTTTAGTAATTACACTGTTATTACTGTTTCATTAGCATTGTTGTTATCATGCGTGTTCTGGAATGGTTAGCATGTGCAGTAGATACCAAATTTGCAAGGTTCTTTCTGGTTCAAGCTGACCGATTAAGCTAATCGGTTTCCCATTCGAGGGGTTGTCTGAGGAATAACCTTGAGCGGAAGATAACTTCAAGCTGAAATCTGAAATTCTAAATGCAGCACAGAGAGAACGAATCAGCCATCTGTGGATAAACTAGCAATTGTTAAGCTAAAAAGATGCAGCCTTTTTAATAATTAATTGCTATTTTAGTGTTAAGACAAAATGCGGTCGATGGACTGAGAAAATAAGAGAATAGGATTGAGAGTTGGAAATGTAACGATGCAGACCTTCAGAATACGCTATCCTGACGGTACCACTCCCAGTACAATGAAACTTCATGCAAGCTTGCATCATTCCCGATCCCATTCATGACTCATTTATTGATGAATACTTATTCGTTTGTAAACACATGAATTTTGCCAAGCAAAAATTGCTTCACTTATGCTTTAAATAAACAACCCGAAATTACTCTTAATAAAGCAATGAAATGACTGTTCTCTAGCGATACACTATTTGTTGATTGTCTTGCTCATGCGATCATAGCGAAAGTAGGCAAAAACAATTGAGTTGAAATTTGTAGAAATGCCGTAATGGTGCAACTCTGTAGCTAAAGTATTCGTAAGCACATCCATGTGCATAACTCTATTAACTAATGTCTCCATTTGGACAATTCGATGAAGACGAGCATCAGTTTCATCTAAATTTCTTTTTGTGAATGAAGCACATCTCGATTTACATTCATGATGAATGCAACGTCGCACATAGCACCGTGTTTTTTTCGACTAGTCAATAATATGAGGCAATTTGTTGTTTAGAATTAAATTAGAATCTTCTCGTTCACTCGTTTTGTTCATAAAAGCTGTTACGTGAACTTTGAAAAAAATATAAAATTACTATTGCTCCTAAAAGTGATTTCTTTTTCAGTCACTGAGGTGTAGTCTAGGAAGGTGTTTCCCAAGACAAGGCGGCACATAGCGTTGGTGCGAGTGCTATCGCAGTGGTTGTTGAACAGTTTGTTAGCGTTATTATATTTTTTGCTGTGGATCAACATACTGGCAACATTGTGATTATCTGCGGTACAGAGGCTCGTAACGGCAAGGCAACAGGCCGCCGAAGCACTTCTATATGCTGAATTATTTTGTGCAAAATGATATCACAACCTGAGGATCGCTCGACAATGGTTTACCGCCCCTTAGCGGTAGCCATAACGCAGTTGAGAGCGAATGAGACTCATCAATCACACCAAAAAAACTGTCATTATTCAGACAATAATAGTGTTTTATCAGCATCCAATTGTTGCATCGTTAAATATGATGATGGTCGTAAACGAAGGAAATGCTCTACAAATTGTTTTTGTTACCCAAATCAAAATGATTCCAATTGCAATACTGCAATTTGCCATACTGCATTGCTCAAGATTATTGCTGCCACTTTATTGCTTTGTTTAACTGCTTTTACTGGTGTACAGCATATTCGAATTTCGAGACTTGAAGAAAGGATAAGATGGGTGGAAGAACATTGCGCTACAATTTCATCTGCTAAATCAAGAAATATTTCGACTTCGAAGGTAAGTTGATAATTGCAACTTTTGAATCCAATAGTGGTCTTCGTTTCTTGAGTTATTTAATCACCGCTCAATTCCCAGTTATGTTTCTTCATTCATGATACAATCTGTTTTGACGGTACAGTTAATCTTGGGTCTGAGGCATGTGCTATGCTTGCTGCTGCAGTTTTTTAATGCAGTACCAGCAAAATGTACTAATCGAGGTTCACCAAAGCATTCGGTTCATCAATAGCGTTTGAATGAAACCTTCTAAGAGCTACTGCAACGGAGGACTTTCGGCTGAGCGAAAGCAGTTCTCGTTAAATTAGCAACTTGGCGCAAAATTTTTGTCATTGATTAATGCTGCAGAGTGGATTTCTTCACTGAAGACATAAATTGTTTCAGTTGTATAGATTAATCTTGGTTGATGCGAAAACATGTCAAAAGATTTGTATGTACTTTTAAATTGCCACCTATCTTCCTGATACAATCTCTGAGCTTGTTTTCAGTAACTGCTGGTTGTAAGTTACAATGGTGCCAATAGAATGTTTCGTAGTGCTGCTTCCTGGCGCCATTTAAAAAATAGAAACATTCCAGTGTTTTCCATGTTTTACAGCAAACTCGATGAATTGAGTGATTAAATAACATAAGATGATCTAATTAAACATGTTGTTCACAACTGAACTGAATATGCGATGATGATAGACGAGCACATAATTCGACTCTTATCTAGCATAGCATCTGGCTAAAAAACTTAAAAAAATACACTAGCGATTCATCATTATTGCTTTACATCGCAATTTTCTATTTCACGATAATGTGATAGTTCTCGTTGAAATAAACTTTCGGTGATAAACTGATGTATACGAACTGCGTTGAGGATTGATCTTCGCGTTTCTCTTGTTTGGCCTTCTTTGCTTTCATATATACAGATGTGCACTATGCAAATAAATGACAGGTGTGTTATGCTTCACCCTTTTCTCAGGTGATCATTCTCGTTGGCAAACGAATTGCCAAACCTCTTTGGACCTAAATTAGTCTTCAATATTCAATTACCTTTTTTCTTAAACAACAATAAACTGCTGTAGTCATTATTTTTCCAAAAACAGTTCAAGATGCCAAGTGGTGAAAGCCATCAAATGAATAACACACACACCCCATTTTATTAAATGATTTTGGACAACTTACTGATTGGCGTTTCATTGTTGAAATGAAGAATCTCAGGAATTAGTTCATTGAAGCACACAGGTGAAATATTACATAGGAAGTAATAATAAAGCATTTGCAATCAATCCATTATATCAACTGCACATGTTATTTGATAAGATCTTCTTTCTGTCAGCAGAGATAGCGGTTGTGAACGCGCTGTAAAAGAGCCGAATGCAGTTGTAAAATTTCGTAATAAGCTGCCGTAGAGATGTAATTACGCCTGACCTAAGTTCCAGATAGTCCAGTCTTAATGGCAGCTAGTTACGTTCAGACAAATTATAACATCAAATGATTCTCAAGAAAATAATAATTCGATATCCATAACGAAAATAGAAATAGTGAGAAGAATAAACCATCAAACACATTCAGAACAATATTGTAAATAACGGTCAAAATAATCCGTTTCTGGGCTCTTCACACAGAAGGCATTAAATACTGCAGATATTAGAAATTTTGGTAGAAGGGGGTTTCTAGAAGGGTTTTTTTAATGCTTTACGAACTTATTCATATTCTTTGGTCAATTATGTTTTACGTAATTCGTCTCATTAAGAAGCAATTATAAGAATGCATGGTTGTACTGTTAAATTTCATCGTCTACGGATGGTTTAAGGCATTAAAGGCTCTACCATCTGCTAAAACAATGGTTGAACATGATGAGAATGAGACAAAGAGTGTGGCCAATTGGCTGTTAGTGGCCAATTGAATTTAATACTACTTGGGAATGTCAGCTCCTATTCCGTCTTTCTTTCTTTCCATTACCTAGATGCCAAATTGTCCTTATTCCATTTCCCGCCTTCACTACACCAGTTGTTCAATGACACAAAATTTTTGTTCTTCGTTGAAATATTTTGGATAACCCTTGATAGTGTGTTCAATTCATAACGCATTCTAACGCAAAGCAAACACACAAAATCATCAGTGAATTAAAGCTGATCTTGTGACATTTAAAGCTGATCCTGTAATAATTTACAGATTTGCATCCATTCATAATACGTCTTACATAAACATAGCGAAAGCTTTCGTTCCGTTCGCAAATGTGTATCAGTTGCACATATGCATGGTGTCATGTAAATTCATCTGATTTATAGCCTTATACAAACGTATATCTCTAGGAAACTTTGTTATGCATCAACGATAATCTCAGTCGCAATTTTCGCCAGCTTTTTTATTCGGTGACTGTTTCATCGTAAAGTGTTGAATTTTTAATTCAGTACAGATAGTCGTCATATTTGCAGCAGTCATCGCTAGTACGCAATTTTGTTCTTTGTTATTGACTTCAACAGTATTTTCACAGAGTGTTAATCAGCAGCTGACGTGTTGCTTTTTGCCCAGTAATTTTTGTTCGAAGGTGATCTAAACCGTTTAGTAGCTTGTTTTTTTTTTTCTCATTACAATAACTGAAAATCGCCGTTGCTATTTTTTTAATTGCTGCGTATCGAAACGAAATCTTCAATTCTGCAGAAGGCTTCGGTAGTGACCCCTTACTATATCACCGAAATCACTACACAAATCTTCTGAATGCGCCTTCGATCAGAAACGCGATAATTCTAGAAAGGCGTAGAGCGTCATAGTATTGTTTGCTAAGAAAGTAGTTTACGACGCTATCGTTCAAAGTGCGATGTATATCACCTTGCTACTTGCATAGCTGAACAGCCGTCAGTCAGTGCAGTTAGTATAAAGACGTTTGCAAATTGTTCAACTGAAACATAAACTCATCACTTAACACTCCAATCCTTTCTGACTCATTTAGTAACGATTTTTGGGGAATTGAATTGCAAAAAAAAAAGGAATTACTAAAAAAAAATCCAGTGAGATTAATTGCTAATGGAAGTGGCACATAAATACATTCAAGTACATCTAGCAATGCTTTGTAAGTTGTGCACGAATCAGTTTGGAGTTATTGCTTCAAACGATTGATGCATGCTTATATGTGAGTTGAGGAAGCTCAGTTAAGAATATGTTCAGCAGACAAAGATTTCTGAATTTATTCCATCTAGTTGCGTTCCCACGCGGTTATTTCTCAACGGGTGGTTTGAAAGCGTTAATATGATGTCATCAAAATGTTGTGTTGTGATTTGCTGTTAGATGCTGATTGAGATGGACGAATAAAGTGAAAAAGCATTTAAATGAATTGACATCTTAACACACTGAGTTCCCACGTTCATCAAAATTCTTTGATGAACAACTATGAAGTGGTTCCAAATTGAGTTTGTTTTTGGTGGAGTGCTTCCGATGAATTAATTTCTCTTGTTTCTTGGATACTTCAAAATGCTCCCAGAAAAACATTTTTGATAATTGAGAATACAAAATTTCGTTTCCAGGCTGATGAAATTTCTGAACGAAATTACGCAAGCAGGAGCGCGAGGGCATTGTATACGGACAATCAGTGCCTGTGCCCTCCAGGTAAGTAAAGTTAAATATTTTAATTGTTTGCCGCGTACGCATCATCCAAATGTGTGCCTAACATGATGATTGCTCATTAAACTTATCATTTAATTCCATCGTCATCGCTCAGTGAATAAATAAATCAAATACAAAATCAGTCGTTATGTGCTAGGACTAATATTGAGTTAAGATGATGTCTTTACGTTATGAATGACCGTAACACTTGATTTATGATACTCTCTTGTCAATATTTTTTCTATTTTAATCACTTTTTTATTACTGTTTTCATTTTTATCATTAATGATATTATTGTTACAATTGCTGTTACTGGTGCTATTATTGTTAAATTATCATTATATCAGTTAATATTATCACAGTCACTAACATTATTATTATCGCCATTATTATATTGCAATTATTATTTTTATTAGAAATAATAATAGTATTATAAATCAGTACGATTACCACTTACAATAGCATCGTTAACGATAAGAGTGTTTGAGAGAGCAAAGATGTTTTCGCAAGTGAAATCGCTTTATGCGTCGGCACATTGCATACCATCCACAATCGACGACGTCGATTGATTGTTCGGTGCTATTTGATGACGCAATAATAATGTATGACCTCAGCCAAACAGCTCGTTGACGATCCTAAGCGCTTTTTTAAACAACGATTACAAATTCATTCACACACAAGTCTTGCATCAATTAACGCTTATATACTTTGAACACAATCGCGATGCTGTCCATTTGATCTCTTCATCAGAGTGCTGACGGATTTTGGTGTTGCTGCAGATAATGTCATTGAAATCCACTAGGGCCGTCAGTTAATGTGGATCGATTGTTTAAGAAATTAAAAGCAACAAAATTCAATGTTTATATAAACGAACATCGATTATGCACAGAAACATTCCTCTATAACGGATGTGCAATCAGTCAATCAGAATATGATCAGTGAACCACATTTCACGACAGCTGACATGATTTATTAGTTCACATAACTCATCTTCTTATGCAAACTACTTAATGTCAGTATGATAACAAATAATTTTAGCGATAGATCATGACAGCGCATCAGCAATGTTTTCGATGAAGTGTTTGCTGTAGCACGTTGCTGAGGGCCACTTTCGTGCATGAAACTTCTCTAAAAATCTTATGATATAAAATGTGAAATGTAAGATTGAGAGGGCTAATACTTAGTGAAAAGCCTTTATAAACTATTGCATTATTTCAGGTCCAAAGGGAGAGCCTGGCCCACCAGGACCACCGGTAGGTTATTTTCTAATTCAAGTGATTCATTCATGGATTAATCCCAAATAATCGACGCAGTGTCTCGTTCATTTGAAAGAAAAGACAAGCCGTTTCGTTTTTCAGTCTTGAAGATTCATTGAAAAAATTGTATGAAAGAAACTGGAAGCATGCAGGACGAAACTATGACTTAATAAATAAATGTGATACTCCAGCATTAGCACGTCGCGTAATAAAATTAACGTGAATAAATCGAAATACACAGCATAGTGTGTACGGATTTGCTTGCATAAGAAAATATATACTTATTTGTATATCGGCCAGTAATTGATATACGCAAACATTTATTTTTGTTTACATACACGCATGACTGGGTTAGGAAAAAGCTTTACGCTACCGTAAACGAGTGTTTCATAAATTAGATAATACAACATAGTAAATCCGCTATCAGAATTAAAGCAAAACCTGGAAGTAAATCACTTTATCTGCAAAAATGCAAATTCAGTAGAAAACTATTCACTTGTAATCGTGTGCATTTGTTGAGTTCGCTTGATTATCATCTCGTTCAGTATGAATTTTTGAATGTACCACATTGGTTATGCGGTTCTATACTCTAGGCATCTTCTTCAAATCGAAAAACTAGTCGCTTGATTCGTCCACGCGTAGATGCATCAATATGGAGAATGGCTGGAAAATCAATTGTATGCATGCTTCCACCTTTATATGTTCCTTTATCATTCTTTTGATTTGTTTCATTAATCAATCGTATGAAATGTTCAAAATTACATTTGAATTTGTTGGTTACCCATTGTTAGTGCATGCCAGTTGTATTGTTTTCCTGTTGTTTCAATCTTCGTCGAAATATGATTTTTCATGAAGCCGTATGAGAGTTTTGCACAGTTGATTTCAAAAAACCCTGTTTAAAGTTCTACAAGCACGTGTGTAACATTACAGTTGCGCTCCAAAAAGGCTGATTATGAACCTAGAATTGTTGTTGTTGTATTGCGATTGTACGCAAGTGGTGATGGTTTTTGCAGTCACTTGACAAACTTTCCCGACGTCAGTTGCGGTCATTCGGATTTCTCTATTCACCAAGTGGCCAATCCATTCAACTTCGAGGTGTTCCTGGATCACCTGGCCCTCCTGTATGTGCCACTCTGACCTTCTCTAATTTTTAAACTCTTTAGAACAGTGAATCTCGCTCGGTATTTTGTGTACGTGCGTGTGTATGCGTTTTTCAGAATAATATCAGTTTCATTTCAACATTCAAATTCATCACTCATATAATTCGTGCTGGAAAAGTTATTCTCAATCTTTCAAATAAATGCATGATTGGTCGATAAAGTGTTGTGATTAGCTGTGGCTCGTTTGTAACAGCAATTGCATACGATTTGAATTCTCATTAGCGATTAATTGAACGGCGCAGTGGATTTCCAGCCCTTCTTTCAAGGCAATCGATAAATGGATTTTCCCGATCAGATCAGATCATATCAAATTGTTTTCTATTCATCATAACTCGCAACTTAATCCCTTGAAATGTTCAATTGAGCATGCATTATTAAAGTTATTCCTTCAAGAACACTCAGAATACTTCCGTCATTCTTCTTTCTATTCAAAGATAGATCATTTTGAAACGTTTTTGTTTCAGGGTGCGAAAGGCGTTCGAGGTTACCCCGGCTTCCCTGTATGTTCTATATGAAAGTTCTATCAGTTTTTCAATGAAGCACCGTCCTATAATTTTAATGTAGATGTGAAAGAAATTTTCATATTTCATCATCTATACTCGGTGAATTTGATTTCACTCCGCATTAGAAGATTTAAATGTATGCGGTTATCCATGTTTTAAAAATCATTTGAAAAATTTTCCATCAGACGGTAGTCAATTTGATTGAAGATTAGGTGCGATTCGAATCATTTCAATTAAGCTGATTGCAGGGACCGATTGGACTGGATGGACCAAAAGGTGTACCGGTGAGTTGCAATATTTCTTTTTAAAACGTTACGGCTGCTTGTTTTTGAAAAGTCAAATCAAAAAAAGTTTGCAAGCACCTTCGTGATTGAGGGATTGAAGTTTTTCATCTCAAAAGTATGTTGCAATTAAATTATGCTTTCAGGGCTCACCAGGTCCAAAGGGAGAGCGAGGTGAGCGAGGTCCAATGGGTCCACCAGGCTATCCAGGTCCGAAAGGAGACCGCGGGTACGTGGGTGGGCCTTTGAGTGGCACACAGGTATGAAATTCCTTTATTTCACATATTCTTCGTCTATTTGCGTACAGTGTTTTTGTTATGGACATAAGTTACTGGAATCTATGTCGTCTTATGTTGATACATTCAATCATTGGTCTCCTTGTCAAATCTCTCGAATCGATTTCTAATAAGTTTTCATTTCTACAATCCTCTTCTCTGTATGAGCATTATATTGTTCAAAAGCATTCCTTTTGATTGTGAGTTGGGGAGATAATGGTTTCTTCATCGAGAGTGTGACTTGTTGACGAACAATTGCTGTGTGTGTTGAAGGAAGCATTCCAATGTTGAATGTTCACAGCAATTTACTGTCGGATTGGATAATTGCTGCGATTCCACTGAGACAATTCGTTATCTGCAACCAAATATTTCTCACTCAAATGTTATTATTGCCTTATACGTTGAACTTATCATATCCAATGAGATATTTCAAAATGAAACGTTCAGTTATGGTTAACATATGCCTAAATTGATAGCCAAGTAATCTGTATCAGATGACTGATTGATAGTCAATTGAATTCCACTAGATCGTGTCAATGCACATCCACATTTTCGTAACACCCGCAAAGTAATCACTCAAACTCAGTTGTTATTGATGAATTGGTATTATTGATGGTGATGGTTATATTCAGTACTCGGTTTAAATTCACTAATCGCGTTAAACAATGGGCACTGTGCTTGAAATTTTCACATTTGATCGCCACGTTTACTTTTTGTTTAGAAGACCCGAATAAGGACATCCCTATTCTACACCATGTCGAGAACAAATTTCTCTACTGGCGTTAAACAATGCATTGAATAATAAAACCACTTGTCTATCACAAATTTTTTGTTACCAATGCTTTTACTGCTGATTCTTTGTCTTTGTTAATAGAATGGATTGAATTCGTCACGTAAAATGCTCTCGAATCTACCAGTTTACATTGATTGCGAAAATTTTGTAAAATCTTCAATGCGCAAATATTTATTCTTTATTAGTCTAACAATCAGCTGCTCAGCACTTGAAGTTCTAGTTTCGTTCCTGTCACGTATCATTGCTCGTGAATATTTCCGCCTTAAAATTAGGAAGTTCCATTCAATCAGTTTAACATTTCTATTTCCATTCAATATCTTCAACTTTCTCTAATTTGATGATGCTGAAATGTTTTTCTTGTAAAATTTGCAACGGAGCAGCAGGTAAAATATGAAAATTAGGATTGGTAGCCAAAGTAAGCTATAAGAATACGTCAAGAGCAAATATGGTAAAGAATATGGTAGTAATGTAACGTGTTTTTTCTAAAATTTCAAAGCAGTGAAAAGGCTGGGTGCATATTTACCGAACCATGCATCCGTTCGCAATGTGACTGACTATCGTAAGTATAAAAGATTTTTTTTCGGATATCGTAAGTATACTTCTTCGGAAACAGGCCGGATTGGAATTTTGTGACCACTTAGCGGACAGCGTGTCCACTTAATGCGAATGATACCAAAGTTTCTTAACGTTCTGGGTATTTGTTGTGATTCTGAAGATACTATGCCGTGTTATATAGGTATCATTAATCTCAATTGATTTCCACACCTGAATTCAGAATATGTTTAAATTTGCCTTTGGTACTTGCTACTTTTTCTGTAGCCTTTATGTATATAGCAACACGTCATTTCCTACATCCTTGTGTGAATAATGATATGAAATTTGAAGCGAAAGCAAAAAGGAGACCCTTCTCATTTTTGACAGTGACACGATACGGCGAATTTCGAGATAACAATCCTCCTCGAAAAACCTAGCAGCGTTTCACGATAAGAATGAACTTTTCGTCATAATCATGTTTTCGGCAGATTTGTTTCACTCCAGATTTGGATCCAAAACTTCATCAGCAGTCAACAATATTCAATTTTCATTGAATATAATAATTGAATTTCATTTCATTAAAGTCTATTAAATAAGCAACGTTCGACATTTCAGTTTCTATAATTCATTAAAAATAATCAAATTATCGGCAGTTGTATGACTATACTGAACACCTGATTTGAAAAATCGAAGAAGAAAACGAAAAGTTTGAAGTGTAAAAGACATCTTCGGGCAAAATGTTTTGAGAACATTTGGAACCTATGAATTCCGTAATTTCGAGAAAATTCAAGTTTCAACCGAGTGTGGTTTTGGGAAAAGAGTTGAACTTTTATGTTGAAAAAATGATGACTTATGATTGGAGATCACTTCCACTCATAAAAACAAGTTAAGCAATTCATTTGCAAAAACCCTTCAACACAGACGGAAATTAAATTTGATAATGCTTTGTTGTTGCTATATTCAATCTCATCTCGTATTTTGTGTTTCTTCTTGACTAAAAACCTTCCATTTGTTTTGAGTGTGAGAAAAAAAAAAGATGAAGTGGATGGGAAATCAAATTATTCAGCATGGTTCGGATAAGACCATTGTGGGCCGAAAAAAATCACCTTGTAGGCTGAATTTCAAAAATTTCCGAAAAGCTTGGGTAGTGAAGATTGAATCAGTCGAGAGGCCTGATCTAGTCCATAGGTCGTAGTTCGGCAACTCTTGGCCAAGATTACGCACTGGTATTCAACGGAAAATTCAAACTCAGTTGATAGGATGCAGAGAAACATCAGTGCATTTTACCTCGATACAAAAATTCTTCATTAGTAAAAAAATTGTCTTCATCCAAGTTTTTTACCAGTTCAAAAACTATATCATCGCGCAATGTAGTTTGTCATTTTGAGTGAGGTGGGAACTCACCTCTGTATATTTTCAGGTTGGAAGTGGGAATCCTGTTGCGCCTATGTTGATTCAGGTAAGATGATGATAATCTGGCGATTTTATTAATCCTAACCCTTATTCGGTTAGCTTTTGCAGCATGTTTCGGTGAAACAGTTGCATTCTGATGATCAGGATAGAATTTCGTTTACAATATCAAACGGCCACTGAATTGTTTTCATTTCTGATGATGCTTTTAATGACTCATCATTCAATCATTATTTTGTTCGCATCAGAAGATAATTAATTTGCCATCTCATTGACCGTAATATAGCCTTATTTTCGCACCTCAACCGTCGAACTATTAAAATGAACATCAAAAATTTTAGGGTCCACCAGGTCCCCCTGGAATGCCTGGCCCACCAGGTGAAACTGGACGGCCTGGCACAGTGGGCCCTAAAGGTGATCGAGGTTTACCTGGTTTTGATGGAGAATCGAAAGTTGGGCCAAAAGGTGAGCCAGGAGAACCAGGTACTCAGGGAAGAATCGGACCAGTCGGACCCGCCGGTCCGATGGGATTAAAGGTTCGGTTAAGTGATTTCTTATTTTCAAAGACTTCTTCTGGTGAAATTGATGCCCTTCGTTTCTTCTCTGCATTTAAATATTCTTAGAAAATGTGCGTGCAAATGTCAGAAGCCGTTGTGACTATCAGTTGTTTTGCATGTTATATCCAAAATATTTTCGAATGTTGCTCTTTGGTCGTATGCATGTGCTAAACATAAGATGAACTATTTTCCTGTTATATCAATCTATCATTTGACTTCTAGTTGAATCAGATATGTCACTTGCATTCTACGATATAATTCCTTACTAAGAATCCTGTTACAGAAACCGTAATGGTAACAGTCAAAAATTAGATGGATCACTCAAAAAATTCCTCATAAATATTCACATCTTTTCCTTGTAAACTACTTGAAACTATTTGAGAAATACTTTTTTTGGCGTTCCAGTTTGATTCTTGATTCTGTTTTTTATTCGTTTTGTGATAATTCAGAAATCTTTCGTTTTCTTCAAAAAACGATTCATTTGCACGCTGAGAAAAGAGATGTTAATCCTTCCATTTCCTCTTCTTTCGGTTTGCATGGATGTGACTATGATGCTATCGGTGATTTCGAAATATAGGGTGATCCCGGAATGCGAGGACCTCCTGGACCGCCTGGCTTTGTCTCAAAACAGGAACCTGGTCATGTGGTGGAGGGTCGAGTCGGTCCACCTGGGATGCCGGGTCCTCCTGGTCTAACCGGACCTCCGGGCATGCCAGGACCACCAGGAGCGAGTGGACCAAAGGGTGACCCGGGCAAACCGGGTCGTGATGGCCGTGACGGAAATCCAGGTCCACCAGGCAGGACTGGTTATATAGGACCACCGGTAATATCGTATGGAATATTTGTAGATTATTTTATAGACCTTCAGTTTAACACAAATAAACTTTCCTGATTATTTATCAGGAAAATTTTATTGCAATATTCATGCCGAAATTATGTCGAATTTGCCCACTCATAAATCAACTTATAAAAATTGACTTTGAAAGTTCAGAAGATCGTTTTACGCCTTTCTAATTCTCATTATCAAATGCAGTCTATTCTGAATAGATCGACAAAAACTTCAAATCAAATAACTGCCAATTTGTGGTGTTCACCAGTATCAGTCATATATAGCAGTGTGAAAACACATCGTCTGTTCGATGTTACTTGAACGTGCCACACTTTATATCTGCCATTACAGCTTAATTACTTCAGTAGCATACACGTCGTCATTTTTGTTGAATATACCTATAAATAGCTGTTCGCGGGCTGTAGCCTATGCATGGCGATCTCAATTTCAATTTTTATGCTATTTGTGCACGCAAATGGATTGGAAGCTATGTTTTTGGTTTTTGAATTCATGCTTTTCAGGGTGAGAAAGGTGACAGAGGAGAACCAGGTGATCAAGGGCCTCGAGGTCCACCTGGAATGATCACTTCTGCATCATTACGAAGCCCTGGACATGTGATCGCTGGTCCACCAGGTCCACCAGGCCGAGATGGACGAAATGGCGAGAAAGGAGAAAAGGTTTGTGGCGGTTTATCTGCAAAATGACTGAATGAATGCCTAATATTTCGCAGTCTTGTTCTGACAGATGCCACAAAGATCTGCTTATCGACAACGCCATCTCACGGATTCATTGCCGAAGAAGATTCATCCATTTATAGCCTTGATATTAAATGAACAGTAATCGTACGACCTCCTACTGTGAACACTGAATTATCGGCAGATATATCTACGTGACTGATTATCGAGATCGTATTCTTACTGGATGCTTCACCGCACATTATTAATCGCTTCTCTGACCATACATCACTGCATTAAATTTTTTCGTTTTGTGTTTTGCTTTTGCATGTGAAATTAGTATGAAAACTGCATATAATCTCAAACGTTTATTATGATCATATAACGAGAGTGCATTTGCGTAATTAATACTCTATTGAATTTGCTTATTTCCAACCGAGCGTATCGTCTAATTATTGAATTGCAATGCCTTTTTCAAATAACCATACGTATATTTTTAATTCGAATTATATTGTTACTCGCATAAATTAACCAGTCATTCTTCACACAGAACTCAACATTAACCAACACAATGTGCATTTGTTTTGAACGCTTCAGGGCGATACCGGTAGTTTGGGTCCGGTTGGTCCAATCGGTTTGTCTGGTCCGAAAGGGGACCCCGGTCGACGTGGAAGACGAGTAAGTGAATTAGTTATCCAACGAATTAGGCATTGGTGTGAATGGGTTGAAAAACAGAACTTTACGAATTTATTTGGGAAGAAAGATTCGACAAGAAGGTTCAGAATGACGAATTCTACTTCGTTAAGTATTTGCGGTTAATTAGAAACCCTTATCAGTCTGAGTATTTCATACCATTGCCTTTTTGTGAATGAACGAACGCTTTGTGTGATACTGTAATTGTGACCGTATTGCTAAATGGACGAGTGTTGCTTGAGATGTTTATGCATTTGTGAGATATGCTTGCTGGTCGTTTACTTTTGTTATGAGAAAAGCATGTTATTTCGCATGTGCCTTTCAGTCTCTCGTTTAGACAACGCCTGGAAGGTATGTTGGCTGTTTGATTTACCTGATAATGAAAATTATCGAGAGAGTCGAGCGATTGTGTCGACGCTATCCTCATCCCTTTTTGTTTGTTGCAATTCCTCTACTGTATTTCTTGCATCAAATTGTGCACTATACAGGGTAAAGATGGTTTGATGATATCGGAAGCACAGCTTATCAAGAAAGTGCTGCCTTCCCTAAGAGCAGCTATTCGTGATAGCGCTGGAAAACCCGGACAACCCGGTCCACCTGGACAAATGGTACTATTTTATGTTAGGTTTTTCAGTCAATATCACTTCGACTAGGTTCCTCATGGGAATGTAACCTCTAATAGTATTTTTGCTAACATACGTCGATATCGACGCAATCTTCGCTCTTGTCCAGATAGAGTTGGTTTGATCGAAATTGTCTTATGATACGAACATGGATTATACTCGCAGTTGTTCATAATGTTTCATTTCCTCTTTACTATTAATAGAACTGAACAGAAATAAAAGTTATTTTATCGATAACAGGGACCAATTGGACCACCTGGTTCGCCCGGACTACGCGGTGAAAGGGGACCACAAGGTTTACCAGGTCACGCTGGCTTGAAAGGTGATCGTGGTGATATCGGACCACCGGGGTTGATTGGACCTCCTGGACTACCAGGCCCACCGGTGAGTTGGCTAACTACCCTTTATGACTGACTCATTATCAATCTCTTCTCGTTCAGATCACAAACTTTAATAACGTTGGTATTTAGGGCGAGCGATTGGAAACCACAGCTACAGGCAGCGCGTCGTTGGCTGTGCCGGGACCACCAGGACCAAGGGTGCACCATTTTGTAATTGTGCTGAAAAAATTACTGATAATCTTTTATTGATATCCGTCAACCCTAGTAGTAACGAATTTCATTTGAACAACTTCTTCTATCAACTGTTCACCTCTACATCCATGGATGTACGATAATCAGTTTTTTAGGGTAGTCCTGGACTACCGGGTCCTCCTGGACTGAAAGGCGAGAAAGGAGATACTGGTTTCGCCGGTGTTCCTGGCTCACTTGGATTACCGGTATGGATTTGCATTAACAAAAGTTACTTAAAAAGAAAGCTAGATGTCGATATTAATAAAGCTGAACTTCTGTTGGATCATTCTATGCAGTTGATATATTCGCTCAAATTGCAGGGACCTCCTGGACCAATGGGTATACGTGGACCGCCAGGTTTACCAGGAAACGAAGGGAGACCTGTGAGCGTTTATCAATTCATGCGAGAAAATATTTAGGAAAAATTTTTCCGCTAAATTCAAACATAAGTTCACAAGACTGAACAATGTTCATACTTTCTAAGTATTGACAACAATCCGTGCTCAGCAAAACGAGAAACGTTCTTCTCAGCTTGCACCAATTAGCTGTGTGTCCGTTCAGATATCAGAAATTGAATATGTTGATGCTCACTGATGCTGAACTAAAATACGAATGGTGTTCCTTCTTGATATTAATGGTCATAATTGCATTCGTCAAATTACATCGTTTAACGAAGATAATGTGCAATCCAATTCACCAATGTTTCCATTTCAATGTTTTTAGGTCGTTCACTTCGTGAAGCTGAGAAAATATAATGAATTTCAATCTTCTTTCGTATGCTTGTGCTACTGATCTGTCACAGTCACTTTCTCAGACTCAATTTTCATAAGTTTGATTTGTTGATGAAAAATGGCATGCGCATGTGATCTATGTTGTATTTCCCATGAATGTCTACTTCTTTAGTATGAATCTATCTGAGTACACGATACGGTTGTTTGTATATCGTTCACCCTATTTTCTATAATGCTTCTGACTTTTCACCGTATTATTTGTTGTCACGGACTTCAGTAGTATTCGTGCTTTATTTATAAGCGTTATATTGTTATGATTATTGTGATGCATTGAACCTGATATTGTGTGAAAGTCGATGTAAGTTTATGATTGATCTATTTTATAGGGCAAGATCGGTCCAACTGGAGCGCCGGGCCCAAAGGGCGATTCCGGAATCCAGGTAATCAGATTGTTCAAATTTCTCAATTTCTGAAGCCGTCTTAATTCAACAGAGCAATGAAGAACCTTATTTAAGGGACCCGTAGGACCACCGGGTGAGCGAGGAAACACAGGAGATCGAGGACCGAGAGGTGAACCAGGCCTGCAAGGTGAGAAAGGAGAGCAGGTAAATTCTTCAATACTTCATTATGTGCTTATTTTTCTTTGTACAACTTCAGACGGTTCATATTTCGCTTAATCTCATTTTCATAGAGCAGTTTCTCGTTCCTTCGTAAATTCCAAGAGCTCATTCGGCTGTAACTTGGTCGTATGGAAGTGTTTTGCACTGCTTTCTGAATCGTTGTTTGCTTTGGTAGCTATTTTCGGTTGCTCATGTCTTCGAAAATATAAAACAAATCAGTGGTTCACAGATGATTGAATAATAATTCATGATTATAACTGAAGTGTAATTCCCTTCCATTAAAACCACTCCGAAATGTCGGCTATATCATTTCGTGATGTTACATGATCATGTATTCTGGTTATGCTTACATCGCATAGATTCAGTGTTGAAGCCTAAGCCTTAGGTGGAGCCCCATTAACGTGCCCATGCACTAGAATAATATGATCTTTTAATTCTAGTGAAAGGTAGTGTAACGGTGATCTTTGTTAGACGCTGCTCGGTTGAGGAAAAAAAGGTGAGTAATCATGTTACTGTTTTACAGGGAATACCTGGCTTGGATGCTCCTTGTCCTACTGGACCTGATGGATTGCCGATGCCGTTCTGCGCGTGGAAACCAATTGATGTGAGATTCTTTGCTCTTCATTGCAATTTGTTCATGAAGCAGAAATTGCTGACATTATCAACTGACCTCCTCGATGAGTGAAAGATTGATTCATAAAGCAGTTATAGATGGTTGTCGACATAATGTTTATTAGGTGCAGCCCCGTTAAGGCGCCCGCATTATGGTATCATTGATGTTGTTATCCATTCTTCTCGAAGGACCTCGAAAATAGGAGATAGGATCGAGGGCCCTGAACTCTCGTACTTGCTTGGGATTCCGAATCTTGCGAGTCTCCAATCCAAACCTGTTATGGATAATCGTTCATCATAACACACTCAATTTTAATGAGTTTATTAACTAAAGCCTCAGTCTAATTCCACTCAAGAATTGCTAGTGATTCGTCGTTCTAATTATGAACATTCACTCACTGTGTGGAATATATTCATTTCAGCAAAATGTGAAAACTGAATATGGGTAAGGAGAGTGGTTCGATACAATGCAACGTTTACTTGCTTAGTTTAAGCATGACGTTTTGATTTTTGAATTGCTGTAACCTTCGAAATACTTTCGACATTGCTGCTTGCTTTGACGTGTCACTGATTAATTGAATACAACACAAAACTGACGATTTGAATTCAGATGCACTATGTTCGCAAAACTTCCAGTTGTGTGTTTTTACATCTTAGAGTTCCTGTACAAATACCCAATTAATTAATCTTTCCATGAAGCATATCCATTCCTATCCATTGCATTAATACTTCCTTTTCATCTAACACGATCACTCAAAATTGTATCATTTTTTCTTATTATCCTCCAGTTGGTTTTTATGTTACCTTCTTTTATTTTATATCCTTTCCTGTGCTTCGGTATTTCAGCTAAAATTACCGACAACGACGCACATCAATCGCAGCATTCACTGCTACGTGTGATTCAAGTGTGTTATCACATTTGCATTCTCCTTGCTTATACAACATCAATTTACCACTCAATTTGCTGCCAGTTCATTGCTTTTGAAACCTAGGCTCTAATTTTATTTTTTGTTTCGAACAATCTAAACTGCATATTCAGTCGCTGGTTGATTCCATTGATGATCTGCAGAAATGACCAGATCAGAGACGACCTAAACTGCAAGATCGATCAATATTGTTGCATGCTATAAGTGAATTCTCTGTCCTGTTTTGGTTTTCGTCCAGTCATAGTTCATTCACTTGTTCTAGTGTCTTATTCATTTGCTGTGTTATTCAGCAGTCGAGCTCTTATCATCAAAATCGTATCGTGCGAGCTGATACTTTAAGATAAAGACAGAGGCAAACGAACGACAACTCTAATGTGCAACTGCAGAAGCAGACGGCAGTTGATTAATATTCCACCAATTACAGCCAGATGAGAACGGACTGAATGAGCGAATTCTGTCTCGGAGAAGGCGACAGGATATGGAACAGCTAACAAATGAGGGTGACGCTAAAACATACTGACTACTAACTTGCTATCGAATTAACATCACGCTGTACGTTCATCTAATTTCAGTAGCATCGCTTCATCATTCATACTCATTTTCCATTCACGAAAAATCAACATCATCCTCCATCATTTTTTCACATTGTTCAGCTACCAGATGAACATTGGTTCAATCAGAGCAATACTAATTAATGAATTAATTACGAGTGATGTGTCGAATCAAGAAGCGAGAACTTTTTACTCGCTTGTAACGGTTATTTAATTGGTGTCAACTATGAATGCATCAAAAGGTCATTCAAAAGACCACTACGTTGTTTAGTCGAACAAAGTTCTTGTATAATTGGTAGTTTTTTCACGGCATTCTCCTCGGCCAACGGCCATCTATAATGCGATCGTGGATGCTCTAAATTTGTTAAGAATATTTGGATACCAAATAACTGTGAAATGATTTTATCGTAATAACGTTGAAATCAAGCTAGAAATAGAGTTTAATCCAAACGATATTAAGTGTTCAATCGCATTATGAAACATAACCGATGTCCAAGGGGAGTGCCAGTTCCATTTGTTGGAAACCGTTCTTCCATTAACGTTGTTAAAAAAAAAGAAAATGCTGTGTAAAAGATAAGCGAGAGCGTGCGCTCGCTTGTAACGTTTTTTTTTTAAATATTTGTTTAAACCGAGGGTCGAAACGTGTAAGACGTGCAGTGCAATTCCTCCATTTCATTTGAAGCCTTCACGTAGTTGTATAAATTTAATGAATCAGAATTGAAGATCTAAACAAGTTTCAACTGTGGTTGATCGCATTGTACGCCACACGAGTAGATCACGTATATTCAATGTTCATTTATCAGACGATAAAAGTCTTTCATTCGAAGGGTCGATCTAATGGCGAATGGGAGAGACGGTTCAAACGGTGGCATTCAGTACGTTGATGTGAATGACGATAAAAACGACTGGTCGCAGAAAGTTGACACTCCAAGAACAAATTAGCTGCCGCAAAATCTGCTCGTGATTCAATTGTTTAATTTACTTGTTAATGTTGTTATCTGTTTCAATTTCGAAACGGCTGCATCGCGCAGCTTCATATCCGTATCATGCTTTGAAACTGCAATCTTCATCACTGTGAGTTTTACAAATTTTTGAATTCGAACGGTGAATGCTGAAACTCTTAAAAAATCTCTCATCATCTTGATCATTGAATGATTGAAAACAACCCAAGCCTACTCATCTTATGCAGAAGATAAAAGTCACAAAGTGGACATCGTTTTTTTTGTCGATACTTTTTTGTCGTTGTCGCTGATTCTTTTAGTCGGCAGCCGTTTAAACTTCATTGTAAAAAGATTTATACTGAATGTCCTGTGTCAATAAATTCGATTCATAGCCACAAACCGCACAGTCATAAACTGCTGAGACAAATCCTTTTTTTACTCTTGTTCAGCTAGCTGGTGAGTGCTCCTAATCGATAGCAGAAGGAAAGTGTAGATTCAAATCAACTGCCACTCATTCAATGATAAATGTTGAGATGATAGTGAAAGTTGAAAGAGCATTTCAGTCGGTTACTTGTGCTAAATGAAACAGTGGATGGGATTTGCATTAACAAGGAGAATGAAGACTGTTTCTTGACTGAGCAATCGGTTTCTGGCCTTTCTTTGTTGGTATTTGGTTTTGATTAGTATTGTTATTGGCATTCGTTGCTAATGTTCGTTAATTTCACTGATCTCTTTCATAACTTCCAAAATACAACACGTATGAGATAATTCAGATAACTTTTTCCTTCCAATCAAACTGCTTGACTGAATGTGAAAGCGTCCTGCGAAAACAAATATGCATTAGCTTCATTGATGAGCCAACTTTCACAAAGAAATTTGTTGTAATTAGACTTTAAGATTATGTTTTTACTAAGCAAATAACTCAGTAATCAGATGCGATTATTATCTAGCTATACGAAAGAACATGTTTTGCGCTGCTACTTTTTGAAATACGTTCACCATCAATGTATTCGATCTAATGAGAGCAGTACCTGTGCATCAGTATGATCGTAGAAGAGACACAAAAACAATGTCAAATTTATTTCCAAATGGGCGGAAAGACTGCGTGAATTCAATGTGGTTTGTTCAAATTAGTTGTTTCAAGTGACTGATGTGAATGGAAATCTTTGTAAGTTTCGATCGTATTCGTTTGAAAATAATCGCGTTAAAATTTGTATTGAGCGTTGGTGTTTTATCTGCCATAGAACAGTTATCAGACAATGAATTGAATTGCATTAATTTTATCTCAATTTGCACTTCATCATTTGATAATTGAAAAGTTATTACTTTAATGTGTTTATGTTGATTTTTCCGTGATATGTGTCGTTGTTAATTTCAGTCATTTTCATTATTGCATAATCAAATACTAATTGCTATTGTCATCCTGCCAATTTGCTTGAAAATTTTTGATGCAATTTGTATAGTGCATTTCTTAAATCATTGATGTTTTGCATCCATTGTCCTAGCTGAACAATTAAATTAAAATTTTTTATTGTTTCTCTCACAAAAACCAATCAATTCGCTAAGGAATATGTGTCAAAGCTTAGAGATGTTCCGTTCCGCATATCTCATTAGTTTTGTGTGATGCTGGAGGTGTCAAACGATTTAGAAGAAGTATTTCCATTCGTTTAGAAGTATTTCATTCCATTCAAGAACCTGGAACAGGTTTTTTACAAAATGTCAACGATGCGGTTATTGTATATGTCAAAAACTGAATGAAACGATCAAGTAAATGAGTGATAGAAATGAGTCATTCAAAATAAGTAAATGCTAGAGTTGAAATGGTGGTGATATTGTATCGGTGGGCTTGACAATTTGACAACAATTTACACTGTTCGGCCGATAAGCAGCGTACAAACCGCATATCATAGCAATGCTGATAGCGATTGATTATTAGTCATTAATGCAGTGCTGAAGGTTTGCAAACAGCTTTGATATCCAATATGCGCCGTATCGAATGTTTTGTACTGTTTCTCTTAATTGTAAGTTAATTGCTTTGGTGAGTTGATATTGTTTGATGTTCATCGGACTTTCAGTGTGACACAGTTTAATGTTTCGTCAATTCGGGTTTAGGTCATAATAACTAAGATTGTTTCATCTACGTTTTTGGTCAATCATTGATATTGATAGCAAACTTCTTCAAGAATCAATAAAATGATTTTTACGTTATTCAATACAACGAAGACACTTTTAGAATGCAGTTTGTTCGTCAGTTTTGCTCGACGTAACGAATATTTCGCTTGCGTGCAACCAATCGCTAAAAGGAGCTAATATAACCGTCACACTTAACATTTATACGAATACGTTAGTGAACCATAAAAGATTTGAAATTTGCGATAAGAACGAATTGAAATCACCAACAGATGTTCTCATATGCGTTTCTTATTCACCTACTCTTGCTAAATGAATAAGCTCAATGAATTACTTGTAGATGGTCCTATTAAATGACCAAGCAAGTGGAAAAATTAAATATTGCATCGGTGGTAGCGAATCGTCGTGAATTTCGATTCGCTAATCCATATAGATACAATTAACATTTTTTCATGAGAAAGCAGTAAAAGAGGTTTTTCAAAACTGACTGCAAACAAGAGCAGTTATTTTAGAATGCATTCGTGA